GAGTGTGATAGAATGTATTTAGATAAGTAGAATACAAGCAAGGAGGTAGTGAGGTGGGAGTGTGAGGGAGTGGAAGATGGAGGTAGAGAGAGAAGGAGGACATGGGGGAATGTGGAGGATGAATTGGGAACGGTATGAGAGGGAGGGGAGGGAGGGGGGGGGGTGGGGGGGGGTGAGGGGAGGGTGGGGCGAGAATCCACCCTTTCAAATATTTCCTAATAAAACACTGTTAAAGTTAGACTTCGTTTAAATACCCGACCCTAAGTTTCTGCTCTCCTGGGGAGTTTAAACGTTGTCCAAACAGGATTATAATTTGACGTCTCTGTGTATCTGTTTCTGGCATCTGGAGCCGTAACCAGATCAATTGCAATTGAAAAAGAAGTTCAAATTTGTCTCTATTTTACAAGATCATAGGACTTCCGACACTGCAAATTTGTCTTTAAGAACTCTGGCTAGAAGTGATAAGAAAGAACGCGATGCTACCTTTCTGAGTCCATACTGGTCCGTATAGTATTGAAATGTAATTCCATTAGCACTGTAATGCAGATTGTACTTGGTAACCCATTGATTTGCATCCTGCCTTCCCTGTGTTGCTACACGAGTTATGTTATGTTCAATACTTAGATCAATTTGAAGCCACTGATTGACATCATTCGAGCCCGCCGCCCAGGAGCCATGGAACTGGCTCCAAGCTTCTTGAAGGTGCAGTCTGGCTAAATAGGGCTCGTGGTATTGGCCCCAATAGGAAGAAGCCGTTATGTGTCCGTCCGAAATTGCACCAGTTTCCATTCCAAGACTCGATTCTCCTTCTAAACGATTAAATAGCAACGCAATACCCATGATAAGTAGAAAAAGGTTTTGAGCGCTGAAAGATTTTTTAATGCACGTGACTGATAGAGAACGTCCTTATTATCTTCATTTCCTCAAGTATGTTTAAGTACAAAGGACCCCTTCATGGTGAAGTTAATTAACAATTATTGAATGAGGCGGAGTATGACGTGAAGATTTTTCCCCCCGACCGAATGCTTCGCATTATACGAAAGCCGGATACAATAATTGTTTTATTATTTATTTAAAATATTTCTAAGTTCTTAACAACCTTGCATTCTTCTAGTTTTATTCAAACATTTGCCTTTTTATGCATTCTGGAATTTCATTCTGGAATTTCTTTCGCATATTTTAGTTTACTCAGGCATAAACAGCTAGGCTTGCTCGAAAGATCTTCATAACAGTAGCGGTTATTGCCTGGAAACAAAGCTGCTAGAAATTTAAAATTGAATCGATGGGTTATTACGTGTATCTTCCAAATATGGCAGGCGCAGGCTGTTTATAAACAATAAACCGGGATTGTAGCCAATCAGAGACTGCAAAACATTTTGAAAAATTAATTATTTCTTTTATTGCTTAGGCTAATGTTCACACAATACCGATTAGCTTTTCGTGTCGGTACGAAAAGCCTCAGTGCCAAAAAAGTAGGCTCCTGAATGCGCTCTTATATATTCAGCTATATTTACAGTCTAGTGAAGCAAGACAAATGTCTTATGACAAATTCCTCGAGTGAACAAAGAAGAATATTACCCTCACTGACTGGATTTATAATAAGACAAAAAAGACACATAGCTAATCAAATCGGTACTAGTTATTAAGGCTATCTATATTCACACTATACCGGACACATTTGCTGACAACTATCCAGTATAATATGAACACCTATTTGTGACTCTCCAATCAATATATAGATCGGAGAGCCGCACTCAGAAATTCTTTACCGAAATTGCGCCCAAAATTTAGACTACAAAACAGTCCATACTTTTGGGTATTCAAATACGCGCGAGCAGTCAAACAAAAGGTCTGGAACGAGGCTGAAAACAGAGAGCGTGACTGGGGAGAGACGCTGCACGCGCGTAAGACTCTTACGCCACGTTTTCCTGATTTCTTTACTGATCTTGAGAAAAAACCGACTGTTTTGCAGTCTAACCGAAATTGCGCTGAAATCGCCGTTCATACGTGTGAAGAGAGGTTCTAGTATCCGGTATGGTTTTCGCGTCGGCGCAAAAGCTACCCGGCATGGTGTGACTATAGCCTTAGTCGGTCGGAGGTCTCAGCTGGGCTTATATTTGAACACAGAAGCGTCTACATACCTTCTGTTATACCATAAAGCTCCACCCTCAGGGCTATATCACCATGCCAAGACAATGGGAGAAAACGGATGTAACGCGACAAAATGGGTGGGTCAAGTCTATGCCAAATAACTGTGTTTTTATCTGAGTTCCCGCTAAATTCCTGAAATGGACATAAATCAAACTGTTTCTCACCTCATCTTCAGCCTGATATCGTTATGGGTACAATCAGGGGTACGGATTGTGGTAAAATAAGAGGGAGTTAAAATCACGTTTAGGACAAACGGCAAACGCAAATTTGTATCAAGTGACTAAGTTTCCCCTTTACGTTTCGTTTTTTACTGGTTATATCAACACAGAAAAAGTAAGAGCACCATGCCAGGTTCATCAAATAATGATTCTGGATAGCTTTTACCTTCTCATTGCTAAATTTGAGAAATTGACAACTTGAATCTGACTCTCGCTTGCAGTAAATGTCATTCTAAATCTCTCTGTTATCTCCACAAATAAAAAATATCTTTTTTCCAATTTAATTAATTAAGTCGTCGTAAGTAATAAGAATTTTTAGTAAAAATTTGTTTCTAAAGCATTATTTTATCAATATGTAAGAATCGAACCTTTCTTTGTCCTTGCTGGTCCATGTAGTAGTCAAACGTGACTCCATCGTCACTTTTTTGGAGATTGTAGCTAGTAACCCATTGAGGGTATTCCTGTCTTCCTTGAGTTGCTACGCGTGTGATGTTAAACTGAACACCCAGATCAACCTGGAGCCACGGGCTTAAATCGCCATAGTTTGTGCCCGCAATCCATGCGCCTATTCTAGATGACGATAAAAATGGCTTAAGGTGTAGCCTGGCTGCATGGGCTACAAAATAACTGTCCCAAATTGTAGATGCAGTAATTTGACCATCGGCAATTGCACCATTCTCCATTCCCAGAGCTTGTTGACACTCTAATGAAATTTAAGAAAAGGACCTTAGTTTAAGTAGGTTCTTTGCTGAAATATATGTATTTAAAAACATCAATTTGTATAGATCTACTGGACACCAAATTAACTGCCTGTCACCTTCCTTTCCCGTGAACCAAAGCCCATACATTAGAATGCCTTTCCCTTT